TGCCCCTGGGGAGCCTCCCGGCCCGAGGTGCAGGCTGCCTGTGGCATTGCCGGCCGGCGAGGTCGAAACTGTACCTCAGGCTCATGGAAAAAGCTCTGTCGCTGAAAAGCTGAAAGTTTTTGTGTTGTTTTTTGATTTTTTTTTTTGCCTCGGTAAAGCAGACAAAGCAATCTTTTGCTCTGAATTCGGCCCGAGGTGCAGGCTGCCTGTGGCATTGCCGGCCGGCGAGGTCGAAACTGTACCTCAGGCTCATGGAAAAAGCTCTGTCGCTGAAAAGCTGAAAGTTTTTGTGTTGTTTTTTGATTTTTTTTTTTGCCTCGGTAAAGCAGACAAAGCAATCTTTTGCTCTGAATTTGAAGATGTACTGATTGGCCAAGGTGGTGGGAGCAGCCTTACCTTCTCCTAGTATTCAATTTCCTAGCGTGTCCTGGAAACAAAAGTGTTTATGATGATCCACATACTAATTGTAGTAAGCTTCCTTTACCTTTAACGATTAGTAAAGTGGATTTGAAGAGAAGATAACTACACAGAGGAAGAACAAAAAGTTTAGGTGCAGTAGATGCAGAGACTCTATGACGATACCAATATCCTTATATAAGATAGTGCTTCGAATCATTAGTCTTTTTGATTACATTGCTGCGATTGGATTTTTGTTTACTGAAAGATAGCTTTTTACACTTGCTAGCTTCTTGAGTACCTCATTTGACTGTTTTGTATTTTTCCTGCTTTTTCTGCACCCTTTTCCATCTTGGAGGTGATAACATGTGTGTCTATATTGACTCTAGACATTTAACTTTCTCATTTCTCATTACTTCAGGACTTTTTAAATTTGCTAGCACTGTAACTTCGGTCATGCTTTGAAAATATCAAGCCAATAACTTACAAAGGCACAACTATGACTATTTCCATAACCAAGTTGTATTTTGTGTAGGACTTTGTGAAGAGTAGACCTGTTTTATATGTACTCCAGTTTAATGCTTAAGCAGCCAGTCATCCTGGAGAAGCTGTTTCCTGACACTTAAAATTTTCATGGTGTGACATAGTCCATTAAAAGAGGCTTTAAATTTATTGTATGTGCATGAAAAATGGCCTTATTTCCTTCTTTTTTCTCCCCCCCGAGAAATGCCTTAAAAAAACTAGACAAATCTATATATAGTGTATGTATTTTCAGCTGTCGCTAATATCTTCCTCATTTTTGATCTATGACATCAAAATCATATGAAAGTTAACATCTTGTAACGAAAGTGTATTATGCATACTATTGCTATTCATAAGTAAACACTAAACAGAACAAACATTTCTGTCACTGTCTATTTCTAAACCTGAACTCTTAAAGGTGTTACATACTAAACAAAAAAATGACTTCTGATATGTTGCCTAGTGTATTGGAATCTGAATCCTATTGCTGCGAAATGTTAAGTAATTGATACTTGTAGTAAGTACTTCATTCTATTTGGGTTCTTGCTGACAGTTTGCAGCTCGTTTTTCAAATTACTGCAACATTATGCAGTATCTTTCCAAGTGAGTTTCTTTGATTCTGCTCATGAGTTTATTTTGAAACTACTGGAATATTCAACAAAGTCTCACTCAGTTACCGAAGAAACTGGGTCATATTATCAATGTCTGTCATGTC